TGGCACAGCAGCATCCGTCGTTGGCCCTCCATTTGTCGCCACCACAGCCGTGTCCTGGGCACGTGGAGTGCTTCTGCTCGACTGCGCCGCAACGGCACCTGGTCCTGGTGATGCTGCCGTGTCAACGTTCGATGCTGAAGTTACATCCAAAGCGGACTCTGGCCCGATCGATTCTTCTTCCTCGAGCTGTGCTGCAGGTGGCTCGGACAACACATCTTCCTCCTCCGCCATCGCCTCGGGCTCTGCTTCCACATGCCCCACACTCAACGCTTGGGCAGCGCGCTGCTGGCGCGCAGCTATTGCTGGCTCCAGGCGCTGTGCTGTTCCTGCGCACACGTCACAAAGCGGCTGGCCGGCAGCAAAGCATGTCGCGGCGCGGGGATCTAGCAACTTGCCGAGCGCCCAGCTGCGGCACGCATTGCCCTCGACAAACTTTTCCATGCCTGGTGCTGGCCCACGTCTGACTGGTAGCCACAGCTCGGCAGTTCCTCCCTGTTTATCGCGACCAGCCCGACCAAATGCCTAGCCCAAGCACATGTACACCATCAGCAAAACCAACAATTGAATTTTTTTGTTTTTTTTTTCAACTCCATACAGTCACACGACCGTTTGAGCAACAACGTACCTGGGCCAGCGTATAGACGTTGTAGCCGTTGCCATACCACAGCACGTGGCGAATGGTGAGCAGATCCACACCCGTGCTGAGGCAGCTGGTGGCCACAATGACGTCGCATTCACCCCGTTGCCACTGTGCCACATGGTCCTTTTGCGCTTTCTCCTCCAGGTCGGTGTAGTAGGGCAAGGCCATGTAGCCGTATGCGTGCAGCTGGTCACACAGCAGCTTCACCTCGCTCACGGTGTCACAAAAGACCATCATGTGCACACGCTCCCCATTCGCCTGACGCATCACCCGCTGCGTGTCCACAATGTCTTGCACATGCGACAAAAAGTTTAGCTGATTTCCGTGAAGCACACGCAGCTGCAGATCGCGACGCATCGTCTCCAAACGGTACACCTTGCCCCCCACTTGCTGCCCCAGCTTTCGAAACAGATGCTCCTGGTCCCCGATGCAAAGTGTGCCCGTCAACGCCACGCGTTTGATGTTGGTCCATCCGCCAGAGCCCACACTGGCTGCGACTTTGTCCATCACATCTCGGTAGCTGGCATCCGAGATGAGCGTGTGCGCCTCGTCCATCACCACAGTGCGGATGCGCTGAAAGCAGACCTTTCCGTGTAGCGATGCAGATCCCACGCGGACAAACATGTCGGTCGTTACGATGAGCACGTCCAGGCCATCTGCCACCTGTGTAGAAGGACCAAGCCATCGCTGGGCACTGTGACCTGCGCCTTGAAATCGCCGCAATAAATCGTTGGCCACGGCCACAAACGGCACAATCCACAGCACCGTACCGGCATGCGGGCGACAGCCCAGCTTGGGCAGGGTACAAAATGTTTTACCCATGCCTGTCGGTGCAACAACAATCAGCCATCCATCCTCCGGCCGGTGCTGGTCAATGGCCGCGGCCAGGTCCAACTGTTCTTGGCTGTTGAAACTGTGGCCCCACGAGATGCTCGCCTGCTTGGCCAGCTGGGTCATGTAGGGTGCGTCATGCTCGGCCCTCGTGTTCATGACGATACGCCCGTTTGCCTCGGGCGAGAGGTCAGTCACCGGGTTCCAGCTGATGGGATAGCGAGCTTCCAATGCTTCTTGGTTTGCGGTCAACTCGGCTATGCTGCGCTTGCGATCTAGTCCAAACAAAGCATGCCATTTTTGCGAGGCCACTTGATGCATCAGTCGCGACGACATTTTGGTTTGCACATGGTCACTCGCTGTGCGCGCATAGGCCCGCTGGGCCGTGTC